CAATAGAAGTAGTTTTGTGATGGGGTCATAAACAAAGTTGCCAAGAGGTTGAGTGTTGGAAAGGTAGGTTCTCTTTAGGAGGAAGGGTAACTCTTATTCAAGCCCTATCAGTGTAGCTTTCCCATATACATATTGTCCTTGTTTATGATTCTTGTGGGGCCAGCGAAAAGAATTGACCGGTGTTTGCATCGCTTCTTACAGGCAAGGGTGGGAGAAGAAAACCCCAACCATTACTGAGTTGGAAGACATGTTGTCAGTCTAAGTGATCAGGGAGGTTGGAAATTGGGAATCTTAGATTGAAAATTTATTTTTATTGGCTAAATAACTTTGTCACTTCCTTCAGGAACCAAACTCTTTGTAGCACAAAGTTATCAACGCCATTCACGGGGGTTTCAGGGATGGATGGGATGCCTTAGCAAGTGAATCCATTTCTTAAAAAAGTCTCTAGAAAGCCATTTTTCACTTGCATCCACTGTTTGTCCTGTTTATCCATCTAAAAGTGGGACATGGCTCTAGGTTGTTATTTTGAGAGGTTATGTTGATTCACCTTTGGCTAGCTGATTTCCACAGTTGTATAACCTACCATACAGACGCAATGATCCTATCTCGTGATTTGTATCCACTATAGAGGGAGGTATAACTTAGAACTTTCATTTTCATCTTAACCTATCTCATTGGTAAACTCCTGCTATGCTTAGCCTTCTAAACCAATTGGAGCCAGTTCATCTAAATTTGCAGCTTGATACCAAAATATGGTCATTGGAACCTAAGGCAGGTCAATATACTTGTAAGTCTTTCTTTGTTCACCTCACCAATAACCCATCATCCAACTATTACATTGTTGCTATGGACTTCTGGAAAGCTCCAATTCTGTCAAAGGGTGTTTGCATGGACAGCCATTCATCAAAGGCTTAACACTAATGAGATGTCACAAATCTGTTTGTGTAATAAAGCTTTATCTTCAGATATCTGCTTGATGTGTTACAAGGAAGGGGAGACACACTCCCATCTATTCATTCCATTGTGAGACAACACGGAAGTTATGTGCGAGTATAACTAACCCGTTTGCTTTAAGCTGGGTGGCTCCTCTTATAATAAAGGGCTTTGTGAGATTGAGTTTCCAGGCAAAGGGTTAGGAAGGTGGCGAAGTGACTCAAAGCAAGGGGCTATTTTTACTGGTTTATGGTGAATATGGCTTGAGAGAACCTGCAGAATATTTTATGTCCCATAATCTTCATCCATGAGCTGCAGGATGTT